CTTAGCCTCAGTACATACTAATAACCCCTTTCCTGACAGCCAGAGCATTTTTCCTGGTCCAGCACACGAGCCCACACACAGCAGCCACCACGGCTGCTCTGGGCACACTCCACATCCTGGGCTCTCCTCCTCTCTAAACACAGTTCAAGCTACACATGGGCTACCGCATGCCAGGACTCTCCGTCCCTCCGCTTGCTCCCCTCAGATGTGTTTGAAATTCAGGCAGAATCTAAAGATGGTTCTGTGGGAGCCACATGGTAAAATCTGCAGTTCCCGAGTGCCGGCACGTCGCCAGGAACGCGTTCCCAGGGCACTTGTGTGTTTTGCCAGAGGACGGGCAGCGCTCCGCTCCCGGAAGGGCACAGCTGCATCAGGAGCAACGCCGCTTCCCCTGGCCCTTTCCAAATACTGAAACTCCCACTCCGGTGTCAGCATTTGGACATCCTGGGAGCCTTCAGGCTGCCGACAGACGCCGTGGCTTAGCATGAGAGCACGTTAGTCTCTGGGAACTCCCTCGGCAACACGGAGCCAAGGGCTGCAGGAACCCCCGTGTAGCAACAGGTTGGTAACTGCACGTGAAGAGCAACGTGCGATGAAAGCAGCAGTGAATGCTGACGACAGCTACGCTCCTGGATCAGGCTAAGATGAAAACCGACTTGCTGACACTAGATTTTAACAAATATTACTTAAGGCACTAAGTAATATGCATTATAATACATCTTTTTAGAGTGTACACGCGGGCTTCCAGCCGCTTAAGATTTAAGCCAGGCCTGCAAAGCCACGCGACCGCCTCGGGTCGCGTCTCTGCCCAGAGGGAGCGTCTCCACGTGCTCGTTCTCATCACCACCTCCACCTCGCTCCACGGAGAGCAGGGAGCACAAGGAGCCAACAAACCCGCTCATCCCGCTGCGGTGACCCAGGGAACACCAAGGTGAGGGTGGAGGGATGCTGTGCTATTGCAAGCAGCTTCTCTGCAGAGCAATAAAGACTCCTTCTCCACAAAAGGTGTCATGATCTTTCATTTCCTATTAACCTGTTCACACGCTACGATAGCTCTGAATTTATTGCTCGGTAGAAACACTCATTTCTTTTAGAATCACTTTATAACTTGAGGAATTTATTACGAAGGGTCGCTCTGTTTTACTGAATCCTTAAGCAGCTGATGATGTTACCCTAAAAGCTACTTCTCCATCACAACTTCTTTCTCCAGCATGGCTAATTTTTGCCCCGGCAAGCTAATTTCCTGTAAGTCTGTACAAATTCTGCATGCTTTCTTGAATCAGATAAGCACAGTACATCACACGGCACTTCATTGAGAAAGTCAGGATAATTATCCTGGACGGATAATTACACAGTGGGGAAAGCGAAGGGCAGCAACATGAAGTAACTTGATTCCGTTCTCCCGGGAGAGCCGTGGGGAGCTGGAAGCAGAGCGCAGGGCCTGTCTATCACCGCGTGCGTTAGTCTGACCACAGCCCAGGGCTTACAAATCTAAAGCTGCAAACAGCAAAAAAGGGGTAGGCGATTCTCCTGCGCTGCCAAGAACCACCTGCAGTTGGACCCACTGACGCATCCAGAAGCTGTTTCCGATGTTATGGGGAGACGGCTGGAAACGCCCCCAGGTAACTCCCCTGCTCAAACTTGCACACCTCAAAGAGCAACGAGGATGTAACTCGGTGCTGCAGAATCAGGAGTTGTTGGGGAAGTTGCTGGTTTGATGTCGAGGCCGATGAGCTGCAGGTGGAACCGGCGCCCGCTCTGCCCCCGGTCAGGAGATGTTGGCCGTGGTCGGCTCCACGCAGGCGTGCGTGGGGACGTCACTGTTAGTGTCACACTGCCCGGGACGGAGCATCCCAGAGCCTGTTCTCCTCTGGGTACGTGGAGCAGCCCGTGGAGATGACCTGATCTCCACCCTGCCAAGAGGGAGACCTCTACATTCACTTTCAGGCAGAGAGGGAAACACGTAGAGAGCGGTGACAATGGCAGGTCACAGTGACCTCCGTCTTTGGGTTTTACAGCCAACAAAGGACATATTTGGCCAACACAACCGCTCATCCCACGTCAGAGAAGCAGCCTGACGGAGATCCGCTCCAGACACCATCTGCTCCCTGCCACCTTTCCAGCACCACCCAGGCTCGCCCAACAGACACTAGGATTTATTCTGCTTTATGGGCTGACCCCTCTGCGGGGTTTGGTTACTGGGCAAGAGTTCAGGCCCTGAGATGAGGCCCTGCTGAAGGATCAAGTCCATCGTAGCAGCAAACAAGCACTGGAAATGGGAGATGCAGGAGTGAGAGCAGGGAATGCCCAGCCAAACAAAACCCATCTGGAAGTTTCCCATGTAGTGGCAGGCCTGTCCACCTCTGTCTGTTCCTGAAACTCTTACATCAGCCGTTCCACTGGGTTTTTATTATTCTATAAAAGGCCTTCAGGCCAAAGGAGACATTTTCTTTAGCTCACTAAAGTGAGAAAGATGCATGAAGTTGCTGTGCAGCCCGCAGGATGCACACGAGTGCTGTGGTCACTGAAACACCGTAAACGCTCCCCCGTGTTATCTTTGGTAGCTCGGGGTGTAACCCTTGGTGGCTGCAGATCTCAAAACTATTAAACTGCAGTGACTCTTGAACTGAGGAGCAGTGCCCCGGACACACACCCTGCATCGAGGGCACCGTGCCAGGGTCTGCATTACAGAGACACGAAGGGCAGCAACAGAATCCCTTGAAACCTATGGAATCGGGAGCAAAACTCCATAGCTGGGGTGACTTGGGGGGACAGCGTAACTTCCATGCCTCTAGCAGGACACTATGGAATGAACTTGCAACAACTCTCCTGCATAGTTATTTTTATTTTTCGGATGAGCATTGCAGCCATTTCAGTGAGGTGAGTCCCCACCATCCTGGTGCCAAAGGAAAACCTGGAAACCCGGAGCAGCTCAAGCTGGGGAGACACGGGGCTGCCGGCTCAAATCCCCGGTCCCCCGCAGCGCCCGCCCCGGGCAGCTCCGGGCAGCCCTGGCGCTTTGGAGCTTTGCTCTTCTTCCACAAAGCTGCCCTGGCTCTCGGGAGGTTCCCAGCAGCTCCCAGCCCTGGCGCTTTGGAGCTTTGCTCTTCTTCCACAAAGCTGCCCTGGCTCTCGGGAGGTTCCCAGCACCTCCCAGCCCTGGCGCTTTGGAGCTTTGCTCTTCTTTCCCAAAGCTGCCCTGGCTCTCGGGAGGTCCCCACAGCTCCCAGCTCTGAGCTCCACGTACCAACGGTGCCATCCAGAGGCACCCGGCCGCAGCACACAGCTCTGCACCGGCAGGAAACACCCTGCCAGGCTGCAGCCCTACACCACCAGCCTCTAAATGAAACCAGCCACCGAATAATTACATTTTTCTGTTATTTTTCACTTCCTTTGCCTCGCAGCCTTCATTCACTTGTTCATTTCAGCCTCTCCCAACACTTCGGGTGTTTTGATTTTCTGTGAATACTAAACCAATCATTCTTAAAAATATACAAACCTCTGGTCTCTCTTGGCAAAAAAGGAGCTATTCCATTTTACTCACAACTGTTGTAAGCAAGACTGGCATCACATGCTCAGTTTTGAGAAGCACTCACCTCTATTTCTTTGCCCTATAACAGTACATGGTTTTGGATAGCAGCAACCACACTTTGTAACAGGAAATTTAACAGGTCTTTTTCCTGATCTAGAACAATTGATGACTCCCTTATAAACTGTGGCTCAGCTTCACACTAGAAAATCCTTTTCCAACATATGAACATATACACACACAAATATATGAAGAAATATATATACATACATGTACTCATATAGGAAATACATGTGTATGTGCATATCTGTGCCACTGTATATGATGAATTATGGATGCTGTTATTGAACTATATCCACTACAAAATGGCATGTATGAAATACAGAGGCTCTTGACCACCATGGAGTGCAGATGTTAAATGCATGGGCCAATATCTATGCTGCACTTGGAGACCCACTGCCTTTGAGCAGTCTTCAAAGCTCAGCTTGCCTGAGCGACACGTGATGAGCTAATTTTTCAGCAGGCAGCCCTGGCCCATTGCACATTTGCAGCAGCCCTCAGGGCTCTTGGCAGCAGCTGCCCAGACCTGGCTCTTTGCTCAGTGGAAGCACAGGGTTGTATCAAATGTCCAACGCTCACACACGTGCAGAGAACAGAAAGACCCAGGGAACACACCAGCTCTGTGCACTGAATATGATGAAGAAATGTTAACAGTAATTCATCAGAATAACAGGGCTCCCCACTGCTGCTTCTGACACACAGTGTTTTCCCCAAATGCTTTTTGCAAATGAAAATGTCATCAACCACTGGATTAGAACCTAACTGCTGCACAAGGACGTGCTTGTTCAGACAACAAATGGAAGTGTAAATTGATGGCAAATCTGTCCCACCAACAGGAAAAGATCATAGAATCACAGAACCGTTAAGGTTGGAAGGCACCTCTAGAGGTCACCTAGTCCAACCCCTGCACACGCAGGGTCACCTAGAGCACGTGGCACAGGGCTGCGTCCAAGCGGGGTTGAAGATCTCCAGAGAAGGAGACTCCACAACCTCTCTGGGCAACCTGTTCCAGGGCTCTGGCACCCTCACTGGGAAGAAATTTTTCCTTAAGTTCCTGTGGAACTTTTGGTGTTTCAGTTTCCGGCCGTTTCCTCTAGTTCTGTCGGTGGCCATCACTGAAAAGAGGCCGGCACCATCCTCCTCACTGCCCCCCTGGGATGTGGGAAGGTCTGGGAAGACACGGAAAAAGCCAGGTGTATTCATTTTAAAGCCCTATTCAGAAATCCTGGTAGGATCCAAACTACAATCCCTTTTTGAAATTAATGCAGTGAAAGAAAACGAGAACAAGAAAATCGGGACACGGTGCAGCCCGAGCGAAGGGCAAACGCACAAACCCTTCCCCAGGTTACTTCCCCCCTGGCCCGCTCGCCGGGACTGACCTGTACTTGCCCGTGCGCACCTGCACCGCGCGCAGGCCGCACCGCTGCGCGCCGCCCACGTCGTTCTCGATGTCGTCACCCACCATGACGGCCTGTCGGGGCACGGAAACACAGGAAAACGGCTCTCAGCTGCACTTGTGCCATGCTTCACACGCCCTGACATAACAAACAGCTTGATTTGATGTTTAATGCTGCCGTCGGCAAATTAAACAAGATAATACTGTCATCGTATTGATTAAAAGTCATCCTACCTTGAATAGAATTCATGCTATGCCTCCTTGAGCTATATAATAGTGCAGTATATGTCCACGCAATTTGCAATCAATCATGAAAATCAAAGTGATTTGGCACACAGTTCAAAGAAAATGTTGAATTTCATGAGATTACTCCAATTATGTTTCCAACCATGCATTTATGTTATGCTCCAGGCAGTTTATATTAAGGTTGATATTTTAAACGTTTCCTTAAAGTTCATATTCTAAAAGCTAGTCAAAAGTTTACATTTAAGATCACCGAAACTTTGCAAAGCTCAATCCCAACCCACTTCCAGGTTGACACAGAAATTCAGAAAGTTTTCTGGCACTGTAAAGCCTAATTCATTTAGTTTTGCATATGGTGATATGGTACAGGCATAACAAGGTCTGCATTGAGGCCACCAATACAAATACTAATAAGGCAATTGACTAATAAGTCAATACAAATACTAATAAGACAAATTAAATAGATTACAAAAGAAACATAACTGAGAAAAGTTCTGGTTTTGCTAAAGGGATTTGTCTGTGTGACTAACAAAAATACCTATTGTGCATGCTCTCTTCAGACTTTCTACCTTCGTAAAGATCTTTTGCTAAACCAGAGCACGTCAACCAAAGGCTCTTTCTGCTGATAACTGTATCTGTAATTTTTTTCAAGTGGTTACTCTCAACTGCAATAAAAACAATTAGCTTATTCTTCAAATTTAAAAATGGCTGTGAGCATTCACTTTATAATTTCAACATAAAACAGTATCTACACAAAACAATAATCTTCAATTTAAAAGAAAAAAAGAATCAGCTTTCAACATTCCCCAGGAACTCCGGGTAGCTCTAAAGAGAACACAGGCTGTACTTAAAACCACGCATCAGCTTTGAACATTTATCTCAGATTTTAAAGTGTGAGTCTGCATCTTCCGTATCAAAGTTGAAATTTAGCTGGAAGAGATGAATTAACTGCATCTTCAACTACTTGATCTTCACCTTGTTGAATCAGCCTCCTAAGAGCAGCCTCCTGTTACTAAGAGCAGCGTTGAGGGGGACATGCACAGAAAGGCGACCCGGCGTTTTTCCATCGTTGGCCAACGGATGAACAGGTTCTTGTCCAGGAGGTCATGGGAAGGAGCCACGCGCAGTGGAAACGGGGATCAGCAGCTCTAATAGCAGCAGCCCAGAAGGAACTGAGCTTTTTCCACACAGCCGGCCACAGCTTTTGGAGAGGAGACACACACAACTCCTCTGCTGTAGGCACCAACCCAGTTATCTCCTCTGGACACTGTAAAAGCCTCTTCTTCGTTCGCCTGCACGTGGACAGGTCTCTCTAACGTGGCCTGAAACCACATGGGGTGGCCCCGGCTCTGGAGAGCTTGGCCTTGGCAAGGCTGCGGGCACCTCCTTGGAGCGCCATGGACACCCGGGAAGGACTGTCCCAAACGGGCACGTGGCTCCGCAGCGTAGCTCCCCTTCCCCGAGCTGAACGTGATACAAGTCACCGCTGGCCCGCCAACCATAGGAGCTTGAAACATAACACAAATTCAGAGAAGCTGAAGCCAGAACCATTAGATCACCCAATTCAACCTCCTTCATAGGAGAGGCCACTGTTTTTCTTCAAGACATCCCTTTTAATGAGCCCAGTAGACTGAATTTTAGTAGGATACATGTTATGTTTGTTGACGAATAGCCTGCAAAAAAGCATCAGGCTGCACTCTGTGGAAGTCAACAGACAAGTTACTTGATGCCATTTAACTGTGAGGACTGTTCACTGTTGGAAAAAGCAACTGCATCTGATTTTTACTCAGCTTTGTCTGGTTCCAGCACTCAGTCACAGCTCTTGCTGCACCCTTTTCCTTTGGATTAAATGATTCTGCGTTGGGCTACTTCACCACGTGAACGTACCCAGTCCCATAAGCTCTCATGATCTGCACTATCCCTGTTACTTATCACTGCATCAAGCCAAATGTCCCCAGGGTCCAGAGCAAACCCTGTGGCGTCCCAGACGAGCTATTACTTGGGTCCTCACTGCCCTCCGTGAAGCTCTGTGCACGAGGCAGTTCTCACTCCTCTGCTGGGCAGGACTTAAACATGTTGCAGTCTAAAATACTGAGTTCCAAAGTTACCTTCATTAAGTAATCTAATTACAACAGAATCCTCTCCCATCTACTAAATATCACCTAAAGGGAATCTCAAGACGTACCTAAAGCTGCAGCTCAACGGAAGGTGCTGTGAGAACCAGGCTGCCCATGACCCAGGCTGGGCTATGTCTGTGAGGAGGTGGGAGCAGCTTCAGCTCCCCAGAACAAACGCTCCTCTCCAGAACAACACACCGCTGCAGTCTGCGGCTTACACAGAGGAGCTACCAGCCCAGGTTATCTTCCACGTTGTTCTTAAATACTGTTTCTGGGAAGAATTATCAACATTCCTCAAGCCACAGGATATAAGAGGCTGTCCCCTGAGGTCAAGGCTCGTTCACCTGGTTCCACTTTGAGGCGGTCTAGGTGAAATAGTTTATGCATGTCCAGCCTTGCTTCGTCTTGCCTAGGGATGTCACTGCTGGGCTTGCGCTTTGAGAGCTCCTTTGAGGGTCAGCCACAGGATGGAGGCATCTGTGGACATCTGTGTGCTCCAGGATGATGTTTTCCCCTGCAGGAAGTTTCTTTCTTGTCACTCCTCCAAACAAACTGTCTGTTATGAAAAGGGGAAAAATGATTGATTCACACCCCCCTGCCAGCCAATTCTATTACCGATATCCTCCAAAGCCTTTCCAGGAGGACGAGCAGGCTGGTTGCAATGCAGCAGGGTGCAAGGCTGCATTCAGCCACGATGAGACACCCACATCTCGAGCACCATGGCCAATATCCTTCCTGACTCTCCGGTCAGCCGGACACTTCAAAACACACACCTGAAAACAGAGCAGAGCTGGAGCCCCTGCTCATTTCCTCAGAAAAAGCAGAAGGGCAGAGCAGGACGGCTCGCCAAGGAGCGGTGAGATCTGCTCGGCAGGGCTGTGCTTTAGCCTGCACGGACAAGTTTTCCTGCAGGAAGAGCTCTGCAAGTGCAGCTGCGCGGGAGCAGCGATGCCTGTCGGGGCCAGCTTGTGGCATACGCACACAGAAATGCACTCCAGGCCCTGGGGACCGCACAGATTTACTATCGGTGAAGGGCAATAATCACTAAAGGAGGAGCAATTATTCCCAAATCATTTAGGATTTAAAAAAATCATTGGCAAGAAGATAGAGGTCAAAAGGTGCACTGTCAAGGGAAATAAAAAAACTCTACCTGTCAAACCTGGGTTTAACTTCCTCTCTGACTGCAATATGGGAAGAGGAGAGAGATATAAAACAGAAAGGTCACACACCCACTGAAAGCAAGGATTAAAAGACCCCCGTTTGTGTGTGCATTTTACACCAGGAACACGGACCATTAACCTGTTCCATCCATTCTTAAAATCCGCTAAAATTTACTAAAACAGGCAAAAAAAAAATGCAGGGAGAATCCCTCCAGTTTTAAGACGAATCCTCAGGGAGCCAAGACGGGCAAATCCCTCTTGTGGGAGCCCGGGCAGCCTGGTAGCAGGTGCCCTGGCACGAGCTGCCCCAGCTCCCATCACAGCAGGACAATTTGCTACAGCTACAACTTTTTTATGATTACATAAAATTCCTGGAACTTTAACATTATTTAGCTTTTATTGTAAAGCTGTAAAAACCACCCTCTGTTACAGCCTTAAAACATATGAACTGGGTATTTCAGTAACCTTTAAGATGTGTTATTCTTTGTCATATTACTGAATCATAAGACAGGTCTGGTTACCTCTAAGAGGTTTAAATTTCCAATCTATTAAAGTAATACCAGCAATCTGTTATTTCTAGGCCATTGAGGAAAGGTTAAAATGAAAATTGGACTTCGGGGAGTTCCTTCTATTCTAAGTGCATGTTGAAAACATCTCAGCAGCAGAAGGCACAGGCAGGGTCTCTGCAAGAAGCAGTTATCAAGGGAAATGACTGGTGATAACTTTATTGATTAAAGCAGCTTGAGAAATTTAAGATTTGTCACTATAACACTACTGTGGTAAGACAGCTTTATTAAAAAAGTATTTTTCATTAAAAAACAAGTAGAAGAAAATTGTAGCATGTTTTGAAAAGAACAGCTCACCTAACTGACTTGATGGTATGGATTAAATGAATTCCACAGGTGGAATAGTTGATTAGAAATCATTTTAAAACAGGACAGGCAAGTAAAACCAGTCCTCATCTCCTCATTGCAAGCACAGAGCTCATACAGGAGATGGATAAAACAAAACACAGCAAGCAACTGCAGAACTGACTGTACTGTGTACACTAAGGTTTTTTTTTTTATGTATCATTAACTAAAGCAGCCCACACATCTGTCTCAAAGGAACGTTAAAGGTGCAAGCACTCAAGAGTTAGGAAAATACATCAGAATTAAGTAGCTGGCTCTGCTGTAATTTGCTCCTCCTATACACACACACAGGGATCTGATTTTAACTCCATCAGTGTGTAATAGTTTTCCATAGTCAAAGGTACCAGTGACGAGGCATGTGATGCTATTTAGTGCTCTCTACTGCTTAACACCTTGCTAAGCACATATGCCCTTCATCCTCATGCTCTCTGAGCACACAAAAAAAGAATAAAGCTACCGACTAGACCTATTACTACAATTAACTGATGGAACGTAATACCAGAAACTATCTGTAAAAATATTTCTCTTAAAATATAAAGTTATAGTTGCTAGAAGCACTGAAACATGAAGAGCTGGCAAAGAGCAGAGGGAAGGAAGAATAACCTCTGCCAGGGACTACTAAGGCTTTTCTGTACCCAAAGCAAATTCTCCCGAGGCCATTGGGGGCCACTCCAGCAAGCCCACGCTCTGGGATTTTCTTTTGCCGGCCTTGTGATGCATTAAATCATCCACTCGAGTTTTCCGAGTGGAATTTTCGCAATGTGAGTTGTGGCGCCCTGTCCCAGCCCAGCGTGGAAACACGTCTGTGTGACAAGGTTCCTCAGTGACAGTGGGGGTGACAGTGTCAGTGCCACGCAGCCGGGGCAAAGCACAGGGACAACCTCGCCACGCTACGATAGGAAAAGGCAACCACCACCAGTGTGCAGCAGCCACAACAACAGAAAAAAGCTGAAAGAAAAGACATCTTCCCTCCTACTCCTGCAGAGTGTTCATTTTTGGCATAAGCAGAAATAAAACACAAAACTTCTTTTGTTTTATTTAGGAAGCTGGAATCCAGGGACTAAGGCCTTTCATTTTTCCCCCCTCTCCTCAGCTACTTTTTCTTCAAATGTCATTTTGTTTCTGAAATGGATTTTTTGGTTTGTTGATGATTTTTTGGCTGGATGAATGGATTGAGTAATTGCTGTGGCTGGACCTGGGATATTGTGTTCGGGTTGAGCTATCTTGTTATTGGGAAAATATTGACAAACTGCAGAGAGAACAGAAGAGAGGAACACGGCGGGTTAGGGTGCAGGGCCACTGAGTCACCGGGGAAGCCACCAAGAGCTGAGCACGACTCTAGCCAGAGGCAGCTACTTGTGACAACAAGTCTACAAACAACTGCAAGGAGAAACATCCAGGAAGGACAGGAGTTATTTTGGTTATTACCTGGAGAAAAACTAGAAACAAAGAGATGCAGGTCAAACAGGGAAATATTTGGATGAATTCCAGAAAAAGCTTCCTGCCAGCGTAGGATCTGCTTGGTTGTCAATACTCTCCTTGGGGGAATTAAAGGCCAGTTGTTGGCCCACTTAAAACTACTTTGGACAAAATATTAATAAACGTGCAGCCAGGGATGCTGCTGCAGTGGGAAGCAGGCGGATTAGACGGCCCACTAAATCTTTCCTATTCTAGAATATAGGAACCCCAAGCACACGCTGAATTACGGGGCCATAACTTCATCTCCAGGTCCTGGGGACCGTGCGAGCCCCCAGCCCTGGCTCTCGTGTTGTTTACGATGTCAGCAGCCCCCGTGATGGAATTACTACCCTGCACATTGTGGCTGTCTGCCGGGCAGTTCATATTCACCCCCCGGGATGTGTGACATGGCCACAAATCAACAGGAGGACATGGGTGTGACATGGCCACAAATCAACAGGAGGACATGGGCACGGTGACGGAAAGGGAAGAAGTGGCCCCGGGTAAGGAAGCAGCGAGTGTGACACCTGCAGAAGGGTTTTGGAAAGCACCATGAAGCCAGGAACAGTAGTAGCAGGGTCTGATCTGCTCTGGAGAGCATGGAACTGTGTCCACATTTTTCCATACAAGCATCTCTGTTACTATCTTGTGATTGGTAAATAGTTTCTGGAATTCGAATTCTCAGCATTAAGTTCATACACCCTTTCTTTTGAACAATGTGGTTTGGGAGAAAGCTGAAAAAGGAGGCCCAACACAAGAGCTTGAGCAGAGGAAGAGCCTACAGCCAAGAACGAGGGATGAGAGACCCCAGAAGGGCAGAGGCAGGGATGGTCCACGTCCTGAGACAGAAATAGGAGAGGGAATGCAAAAAGACACAGCAGATGGTCAAAACGAACCCTAATGAAAGCAAAGAAATTCAGCAGCTCCCCACCTGCTAGCCCTTTTAAAAAACAGTCCTCTCTGCCTCATGGAACAGGGAAATGTTTTTCTCCCTCCAAAATGTTTTCCAACATTTTTAAATAATTCACAGGATAATCCTGAATACAAGTATTTTCCTGTAGCACATGCAACATATTGGCTCCTGAAAAAAATATTTGTATATTCCCCTCCCAGGGTTTATCATGTCCTCCCGGCTACAGTCCTGTCACCAAGTTTCTGTGAAAGACAGAGAATGACAAAAAAGACCCACGCGTGGCGTGGACACGGCCCATCCACCTGCACCAGGAACCTTACCTGCTGCGGCTCAACGCCCAGCTCTGCCAGGGCTGACTCAAAAAAACTCTTGGCTGGTTTCCCCACGACCTCAGCTTGGACATCACAAGCGTACTGGAAAGAAAGAAAAGGGGAGACCCACACAAATCATCCTGTAAAGATCAGAAAAGGTTTTGTTCAACTCCACAACCCTCGTCAATTGTATAAAATGTGTGTGATTATTGACTGATGCCCCTAAATAACAAAATGGATTAGCAGATGAAGGTGACTAGCAGAGTTTGGATAACAGGGGTGTTTAATGCTCTCTGGCACGAAAGAAAGCCCTCCTGGAACAGCTCAAGTTAAAAGCCTGTTACATTCTCCATCTTCAGACTCGGTTCTAGTATCACTGATTTCTGCAAGAGTATTACTCTTACTGAGACAACAAAAATCCAGAAGTGTTGGATGAACTTGAAGATGTAGATGGTTTCTCCAATCACCCAGCACATGCTTACATTCTTCTGCAACTAAATATCAACACTATGCTAAAACTTGAGTAAATCAGTTTTCTTCCAGATTGCTCCTACACAACCAGAAGTCCAAACTTTCTATTTATGAGGTGAAATCTGTCTTACTCTTCCTGAGACAACAAAAATCCAGAAGTGTTGGATGAACTTGAAGACATTGATGGTTTCTCCAATCACCCAGCATACGCTTACATTCTTCTGCAACTAAATATCAACACTATGCTAAAACTCAAATAAATAAGTCTTCTTCCAGATTAATCCTACAGAACCAGAAGTCCAAACTTTTTATTTGCGAGGTGAAATCTCTGCCCAAAACTCGCACCAAGACAAGTGTGCTGCAAGCACATGCTTTATGCACAGCCTCCATGTCTGCCTGCTCCTCTACTTCGCTTTACTCTCCACACTCCCTCTGTATTTAATTTTTTATAAAAGGGAGCACAATAACTCTCTCCTCTCCCCCTTAGGCTCACTTATCTATCAGGTTCCAGTTCTGCACAGACTTAATCAGGCTTAAAACCAGGATTGCACTCGGGTATCTTGCTGGATAAAGGCCTCATGCTGTCAACTGTTACGGTAAGAGCTGCGTTAGGCAACACTATGCTGCACTAAAGCAAGTTCTCATTTTGGCCTGGATATGGACAATATTGTATATTTTCCTTTTCTGATTCTTTCTTTTACAGGCCTCTATTCCAATACAGGAACAACAATGTTAAAGTTCACATTTTAAATACACAAAAAACAAATGAAAACAGCAAAAACAAAACCACCCATGCTTAGAAGTAGCAGATGAGTTTAATTTGGGGAAACCTCCTCCACCAAGGTGAGTAATTACAAAAGATGACCCATATTTACACCAGTTACTCATTCTGTGTACCTTGTTAAAAAGTAAGCATAATGCAAGCTATAAAATACCTCTAATGCCTTCATATATGCTCCAACATCAAGTTTCAGACCATCGGTTTCTTTATAATAGCGTCTGGAAATGAAAGTGATAAAGTTCCAATGAAATGAAAATGTTGGCAGTTAAACATAAAGAAACTGCATTTTATGATTTCTGGGCATATATACACGTCCATATGGCTGCAACAAAAAGTCAAGTCATCAGAAACTCCCGAGCCTTAATTTAACACAGGGAATTAAGTAAAGGACAGGCTCAGCACCGTGCAGTGCTGAGGAAAAGGCTGCAGACAGCAGATCCGATGCCCATCTGGCACCGGGGGCACCACTGCTCCGATGCCGACAGCTTCCAACAAGCTCAGATGAGCATGAGCTTGAGCCCAGTTTTCTACCTTGGCAATGACTGTGCACCAGCATCTCGCCAAGAACATGCTTTCCCTTTGTCACCATGGTTGAAAATCACCTCCAGGCTAAACCCTGCTCCTTCAAAAAAAATAAAAAAATAAAAAAATAAAAGCTCATATTGTCATAAAGATACTAAATATTTTGAGCTCCATGGTGTTTTTCTGGAACAGCAATTCACGCTAGGACAGGTCTACAGAGCTCTCCGATTAGGGCAAACACAGGTTTCTGTATATCAGGAGAAAAAAAAAAAAAGAGAAGATGCAGGATGAGCAGTCAGTTAAGATTTTATGCCTTATCCTTCTGCCATTTTCGATTATTCAGCACAGCCTCCCTCTAAAATGACCACTTGACCTTTGCTAGAACAGCCATTAACCTTCTATAGTCTAGCGTAAACAGCTTAATTTTCTGACAGTGGCATGACAGAAGAAATTACAAAGCCAATTCCCCCTCTCAGCCCAAAACAGATGCTAAATGTAAATCACTCCATTTTCAGGAGCAGGGCATTCTGCTTCAGTGACTCTGACACTCTTTTTCTACGGAATGAACTAAAACTTTAGCAGAAATCAGCCTGCCTGCTCAAGGTACAGGCATGGCGAGGTCCCCTCAATTACACTGATTTTGCACATGAACAACAGAGCTAACTCGTGGCTGCTTTTTGTATACAGCCCTTTGTACCAGAGATGCTTCCTCGCTTGGTGGATAAGCAAGATCCTCCAATTCATCATCTTTCTTCTTCAGGGTCTGAGAACTTGCCCACCAGTCTAACTCGCTCAGCGATTTCTGCAGAACTCTATCAAATATGATATCGATATTGGATATTGAATGGGATCCAAGCACTCCCTCATAAAAATCACTCTCCTCACAAAACCTGAGCTCAGAGAATCCAGACATGTGATATTTCTCATTTAGCAAATAATCCTTCTGGAAATTACAGTGATGCTGTTTTAGAATTACCTACATTAATGAGTGACTAAATAAACAAATACTGATTATGCATGGAATACAAAGGCATTTCTGCATTGCTCAAGGTGCAAATCTCAAGCAAAGGTTGATTCTATGCTTCATTTTGACAAATGCTATTACGTTACACAGAACTCAGTTATTTTGTATCTGCTAGTCATTTTGCTGTTGGCTCCTACCATTTTCTCTTCATCTTTTACCTGAAAAATTGCACGGATTTTTCGCCCATTCTGTAGAATCAGAGCACCTGAGCACCAGGCAGGGCAACACAGTGGATTTAACTGCTCCTTCCCACTGGTTAATCCAACTCTGGATCAATAATCCATGAGCTGTGAAGGGTTTTCATGCCCATTATGGTCTACTGAACCACTGAAAAAGTTGTCACTACAGTTTCTCGGGTTAATGACACACTGCACCACAGACAAGAACGACTCCTTCAAGGCCTTTTGTCCTGGCTTTACTGACCTGCTTTTTAAGATCACAGACTATATCTAACTGACCAAGTTTTAGAAAAACATCCAAGTTCCATGACTGGACTTCCCCTGCCTTTGAAAACAGGTAGTCAAATTAACTTTAAAGTTCATAGAGGCTTTAAAATATTTTAAATTGACAATGCAAAATCCTAATTGCTTTTGCAGGTCTTAGTCCTACATAGCAGCCTAGGCATTTCTCAGTCCTTACCTGTGGCTCTCTCCTTCCATCTTCTCGTCCACTATCCTTTCACAATCCATTCAAGGGAAACACCTTCTTTTAGGGAAACACTTCCTTTTGTGGATCTATTCATCTTAATCACTCAGATCTCCCCTTGCCCCTTCTTTTAGGGAAACACTTCCTTTTGGGGATCTCCCCTTGCTCCCAGGGAAATACTACTACTAAGTGATTCAGGCCAGGTGAGTGAGTCAGATGACTGAATTTCCCATTGACAGACACATGGGCATACTACAGATTAGTCGTGGACACACGGATTAGGGGCTTAAAAGGAGGAGGACGAACACCCACACTGGTGTATGGCCTCTGATGAGCACAAGGACACTGTGGGAAATTAAATATGCACACTACACAAAAATATACAAAATACACAGCAGTACTTAACTCACCCTCTTCCAAGAGCTATCAAAACAGGATTTTCCAACCCAATCAGGACTCTGAAAGCTTCATTAAGGTTTGCATAGGTGAATTTGTCTGCTGCATCTCCAATGACTACACAATTTGGGTTTGTTCTATCAATTTCAGCAAATTCAGGGATAAGATCTAAAGAAAGAGGAACAAAATAACCCAAAATCTCTCATCTTTTCAGATCCAATTGGAATTTATAGCTTTCTTAGACTTGTGCTTCCCTTCACTCATCATCAGACACCCACCCACACCCCATACCTCCTTCCTCCCTTGCCCCAACCGAGTTCGAATCAGCTGTTCTTTACCCACTTCTATTCCTCCTTGGAGTCTGCTATTTATCTGCTTTACAACAAAGAGAAAAATAAACCCTTCTGTCTCCTTGCCTTGGCTCCCACCACACACCCCCTAGGGGCTTGTTACATCTGGGCACCTAGACCTGAGGCAAACTCTCCGTTAAGTTAATGAAAAGATAATAGCACGGGCAGGAGTCACTTCCTGTCTTATTGTGCATCCTCTTCAGAAGAGGACACTAAACCTAAAACCTCTATCATGGGAATAAGTTGCTCAGAGAGGCCTTGGCACAGGAGAAGGGTGAGGAGATGCCTGCACACGGGCTTGGTGCAGGTGGAGCAGACAGTGAGCTGTCTGTCAGCTGGGAGAAGGACGTGGTTATGACCAGGGGCTTCATGATGACACGGATGCAGCCACACTCCCTATCCCAGGCCACAGACTGCCTCACACATGGAATCTGCTTCCCTATTTCCCTTAGGATTGGGAAAGGAGCAAAAGTTATCTTCATTGCAGAATGTTGCTGGATAGGAAGTGATAATAAATCTAACAATCTTGTTTGAAAACACTCAATAAAAGCCAACTGCTGATTCGACTGCTAGAAAGGCTTTTGTATGACAAACTCGGGTGGTTATCCAGCTGCATTAGCAACCTCAGACACCTCAGGCACACAGTGTTTCAGCAGCAAAAGCTTTAGAGCTTCCCCATGAAAACAAAGACAGGAGCAGTGAAATTGCGTGGCAGGGGCTGAAGAGATGGTTGTTCTACCTGGGACTGAGCCATGAGGACAACGTCTCTTGTAAGTGCCTGTCTCTCTTAATTTCTCTCTTCCATGCGCTGCGCACCTTGATGATTCTTCCCAGCAAAACTGGGACTCTCCGCAGAGGAAAAAGGACTTAGGCCAGACTGCAAAATGCCCACATTACAGAACTGGGGGAATCAGGACTCGTGCAGCCTGGCTTCTCACTCCCCAACTTGGAGCAAGGCTGGTGAGAGGTGGAAAGGTGACACGCAGCTCTGCAGAAACAAGCTCAGAAGCAACATGCTACACTGAGCAGGTCTGCAAGCAGGGAAGCTTATTTGCTATGTACTTCTCTCATTATGATGCACAGTTCAAAAGGAAGGGCCTTAGAAAAGCCAGGCCTCCCTGGCTGGGATTTTGTCAAGTTATCCAGCCTACAAGCTCCAGGCACACTCATTATACCCGTATGAGGAATGAGATCTCACTCACTCAGGCCATACTACTAACATTTACTCCAGGCTTTCACACCTAGGTAGAATGGGGTTAAGTGTTTTAACCTGTTGGAAATTATCAGCTGGGAATTATTCCCCTCGCAGAGCTGTGTGAAGCTGCCACCTCTGCGTGTGCTGTCCCCAACCCCAGCGCCAGGCTCTCACCGTCGTGCACGAGCAAGTGGGGCCGCAGGCCGCGCTCCCGCAGCACGCGGCAGGCGGCCGGCGCCGGGGCCGTCACTTCGTCCACGGAGATGTCAAAGCCGAAGCCCTGGAGCTTCCGCACAAACTGCTCCCGCGTGGCCTGCGTTTCATTCGTGCAGAACCGCAGCTTCAGGCCGGACGCTTTGATCCTGTTGTATAAAAGCAGCAGAGGGGTTAACGTGGCACTGATCAGGAGCCGGGCACACCAGCCTTGCCATGCACAAAAACCATCACACAGGCAGGAAAAGACATGCTAGAACACACAAATGTATTTGTATTGACTTAAATAAGTTTAAACTATTTTATTTACATTTAATCCTGTACAATAAGACCTCAAAGTATTTCCCAAGAAAACCAGAAGCCCACCATTAATTCGGGTAATTTCATTGAAAACGGAAAGATGAGCCGCCAGACCAGGATCCTCATCATGACCAAGAGACACCTCTAAACATATGGATATATTGGAGGGCATATATTGTGGATACTCCAAAAGCAATATTCATGCACAGAGCTCCAGCCACAGCAGTAACTGCTCTTCCAGAGCATGGAGCTAACCTGAACATGGCAGCATTGCTGGGCACGTGATCCCAGGACATACGCACCTGGCAGGCACCCATTCCCCCCACATACCAGGAAAACAAGCACAAAAAGAAAAAAGGAAAAAAAGAAAAAAAAATAAATCCAGTTCTCCGTGTGTCTATTTTGCATCTTGTTTGCAGACGTATACGCACAGCACCCAAAGGCCCAGCATGGCCACGAACACAAAAGCCACCGTGAAGCACGAGCTGCTGGCACCGCAGCCTGGATCCTCCCCTCTCCACCCGCCGAGCCCCGGCTGCAGCCATCGGCTCCGGTGCCCCAGGAGCAGCAGCAGGTTGGGCACCGGTGCAGACACCGGGAGCTGCAGGAATGATGTCTCTATCAGCACAGGGGTGACTTCGGTCACATTCATCATTTAGCCCCTCATAAAACACCTCTGCTGTTATTTGTTGGGAAGCACTGAAAAATAGGGCTCTTCAGTACTCAAAAATATTTATCTGTAAACACTATTAATTTAACAAAATATAGCTGCAAGTGCCCAGAGCCAAGGGAACATCTCCTCTGGGCCAGCACCCCAGCCTCATGCAAGCCCCTCTGCTTCTGAGTGATTTTGTGTCCCCTCTACAAACGAGAACACTGCAAGTGCAAACTGCAGAGCTTTTCTATTAGGAAGCCCCCAGCACAGATCCTCAAGACAATCAAATACACGGGTTCTTCTTCCAGAGAAGACATTCCCAAAAGGCTGGTGCAAGCACCAAAGCCTCCTGAAGATAAGGCATCTGACTAAGGACTTTCCATCAAAGAATTCTTCGAAATCTGATCCCGACCCAGCAAGCCCCCTCTATACTAGAGCTGCCTGCCAATGTCTTCTTCAATAACACAGGTGATACATTTCTTTCTTATTATTTGTCTTTCCTAATCATAGGTATGTGAATTATCAATTACACTTAGTGGTTAATTGCCCTTCATAAAGATAGCTCTTCTATTTTAAATTAGGCAGTTAATATATTGTAACTAATAGCATCCACTTGTACATTATAAATATATCTTCATTGATTGGAGCAGCGAATGTGAGATTCACTCACAAGTTAATGAAGCAATTGAGTGAAGAAGTGCAGGGTGCAGCCAGGGAATAATTACTGTTAATGAATTATGATGTGACCTTCTCAGAACAATGAACAATTGGTGTGACAGTGCGATGACAGCACCCCACATCTGTTATTCCAAACACGGCTTCAGCTGTAGTTAAAAAGCAAAGCAGTGGAATTTGGATACACAACAAACTCGAACAGCGTGCCGGAGTTAAGGCAAATCTTATTCTAAAATACCAAGTGTATTTTGACTTTTTTGGCAAAAATCCCATGATTCACCACCATCTAGAAGCAGACATTGGTTAAATAACAATCTATTTCTTCTCTTAAAGGTGAATAAAATGAATTCAGAAATGATGCTAACCAGTCAAGTTGCATACACACATAAATGTGCCCTCTCGGGCCAGCTTCGAGGAAGCGAATAATAGGGCTTTCTGTACTTTCATTTAACTCCCTTTTCAGAAGTTTAGTCGAGAAAAAGATACACTTCTGAAGTGTGGCAAGAATATGTAGTAAATTCTTAGCAAGGACAAGAAGCCAAGTTTGTCAGAAAAGTGTTTTTGCCTGGAACACTTTGATCTTAGCAAGGACAAGAAGCCAAGTTTGCCAGAAAGGAGAAGTGTTTTTGCCTGGAACACTTTGGTGAAAATATCACAAAAATGTGCTGGAAATAGAAACATGAAATAAAAGAAACCCACAAATACTCCAGCCTTTCCAACGATCACAAGACCTATTTCAACAAAACTGCCTTTTCTTTAAAAACCCACCTTTCCCTTCCAAGCTTATATCTCCTCCATGCCCAATCCATGCCAACCACCAGCTTAGGCAAGTGGGGAAGCCTCTTCACATCATCCTACATACAGGAAATCCTGACTCTGTGTCAGTGTCCAGAGCAAATTCTCCTTAACTTTTCACAGTCAGTTTTTACCCAGGGTGAAGCTACGAGGTTGAAGGTCTCGGTTCACTGGTGTGAAATACTTTGCAAAGCGAGTCCATACAGTGCTTAGGGTGGTGAGTTTAACGAGACTCACCTGGAAACCAACAGTTAAAAGGTTTAGAGAGCCAGTACAGAGCAAGTCACTGCAATGGCTATTGCTGCAAGCACAAGGAAGATGAAAAAGTCGATAATTTGTAACATGATGATTGTAACCCCAGCGCTCCTCGGAGCACAAGATGCCTGGAAACTCCTGCAAGCCCCGCGCGGGGGGCCCAGTGCCAAAACCGCTGCATGCCAAAGCTGTCCCAAAAGCTGCCCTAGAGGCAGGGGCGCTCGCCCAGCCCCATGCCTGCTCTGATAATGCACAAAGAGGGCACCCGAATAGGAGTTTTTCTTAATTTTGGCTGCAAACTTGTGCCTGCTGCTCCGGCGGTTCTTTGAACTGACCTTTACCTCGTTTTGACAGAGCGGGACAAGACGCTGAGTGACAATGTCCCACAATGCAATTACTGCACGTCAGATGAGCCGGGCCCTTACAAATCACCTCGAACTTTACACATCTGCTGGCTGTCAGCATCTGCCAGGCTCACTCACCCGAAAATAATGAAAAAACTCTCATTATTGCTCCATAACAGGTAAAGTGTTAGGACAATTATTGGACATCCTGGCTGACATTGTGCAGGCTCCACCCGCTGCACGCGCTCGCATTGTGCAGGCTCCACCGGCTGCCCTTGCCCACCTTTATGGGTCGCCTTTGGGCAAAAACTGCTCTTCTGGAGCATGGAAAGGTGGTGACACCAGGAGGAAGGAGGAGAAAAAGAAAAAAAAAAAAAACACCAGTCTGGAAGACCTGGAAGGGCTCTGGTTATGAGGTTTCCAGGACTGCCTTCTTGTCTAGCTTTTGTTTTGTTCAGATTTTTTTTTATCTTAAAAGAAAAGAAGGTCTGCTGAGCGCTGGGGCTGCCTGGTGCCTCTCCTGCATCCGTGCACGCTGACCTGGCTGCACTCCAGGGCTGTCTCCAGAAGAAGCAGAATTAGCAGCATCAGATAAGCACCTACTTGTGACCATGCAACCAAGTAAAAACACAGTTTGTGCAGTCCTGCCCGGGGAGGGATAACGTTTGGTTCCCACCCTCTGCAAGGGCCAGGAAAAGCGGTAGAGATTCCTGTCCAGGAAAACTCTTCTTCTAACTGCAAACTGGGGGAAAAACTCCAGAATGTCATTTTTCAGCAAGCTGCTTTTTTCCCCTCACGAGTACGGTGGCTCTTGGGAACTGCACAGGGGTGACAAATGCACACGATGCAACAAGTGCCACCAGCGCTCCGCAGCTCAGGAAATACAAGGAATATTGAGTGCCATCTGCTGGCACCGGCGCTGCACCAGCACGGAGCACTCCTGCGGCCACGGGGCAGGAACCAGCCCACGCCAGGGAGCTGAACGGGCGCTCACTGGGCTCGGTGACTGCCCGGAAAGCTTCAGGGGTACCTAAAAAAGAAGCCTGCAAAAACAGCCTGCCTGGGGCTCCTACAAACCCAAAGAGCACCTTTGATGCAGGGCTGTTGTGTGCTAGGCAGCAAAGTGAACGCAGAAACGTGCACGAAAACACAGAGGAGTCAGATAACTAGAAAAACTAAACTTCTGGGGAGAAGATAAATACAAGATTCAGAGATGAATGGTTTGGATTCACAGTTGCTAAATAACTAGCAGTGAACTGATAGCACCGTAAGAAGAAATACCAGGACAGACCACTTAGCTAAGGATGCTGCCTATTTATAAAGATAGAGGTGAGCGAGCAGCTGCAGGAAGACTCCAGGAGCAAGTGCCTGCAAGTGGAAGGAGGCACAGGTTGGAGCAGACAGGCTTGAAAAACGCAGGGAGGGAGTGAGCAGAAATAAGTGAGAAAAGTGAGAGAAGGTACCAAGGAAAAAGGCCTGGTAGTTATGAGAAACCTGGTATTAACCTGCGCATGGTGGTGTCAAACCCAGAAGAGGACGCAACGCCTAGGCCGGTTGCAGGACACAGAGCAGAGTATGGAGAAATTTTGGGAACACGAGCGTCACCTTGATCAAATAAAGCTCCGATTTGGTGCTAAAAGGAAGCAAGTCACAATGTGCCTCTTCGTTCTTGGCACAGCGGCTGCTGCTCAAGCACTCCCGCTTTCCAGGAGAGGGCTCAGAAAGCTGGATCGTACCCTGCACGTTCACGCTGCCGACTCCAGAGACCCGGACCCTGGCATTTGGAGAAGGCTGTTTGACAGAAAAAAATAATGAATCACTGAACTGCTGTTCAAAGTAAACTTTATAAACACACTGATGTTTATTTAGGTATATAAATCATTTTAACTTTTTCGGGGGCAGGAAAACAAGGTAACTTTGGTTATTCAAAAGTATTAACTAGCGTGAACAGGTCTGGAATACATTAATCTGCATTAATCATAACATTTTTATCAACAACATAATCATATTCCAACAGCTTTCATTATTTGCTAAAAGCAGTCAGTTATTTGCCTCTGCACCAACTAATTATTGTATTAAAAAGTCAAAAACAAGATAATTTGCCTCTGACAAAGCCATTACAGTG